AAGAATAATGTTTTTAATGGAAAACACTTCTGTTTTCAAAATACTTAACCCTTCAGAAGAATAAACTGAGCTTGTCATATGAGTGTGTGAGGCTATGCAGAGTTTTACATAGTTTCCCCATCCATTTTTTTGACATTCCAGACACTTCCCCTTTCATTATTTTAACTAGAAAAAAATGTGTTGTACTAATTCTGAGATTCTCTATGACTTTGTAATTTAAACTGTGCCACTGTCTTTCTTAGAACTGTGATAAGCTTTAGTCCAGGGTTTTCCAACAGGATCAGTATTGACCCTTAGAGGTTGATGAAAGTTTGAGGGTGGGTGGGTCAATAAGACTTTGTAAATATTAAAAATTGTACACATTGTTTGCTCTTAAATAAGTGTAGGAAGATGTTTTTAAAAATTATTAAGATGCTACAGCATATATATTTATATATAATATATACAGTGTATAATATTGGAGGGGGTTGATTGAAAAAATTTTTCTTAAAAGGGGTCAATACATGAAAAAGGTTGTGAACACCTTCTTTAGTCCCATGAGAATGGGGTTGGTGATGCATGGCAACTACAGCATTGAATAGCCCACCACTTACTTATACTCTCATGCACCTGGGTTTAGTTAAAATATAACAGAAGCAAGATAGTCTGGTACAATGTTTTTGTTTACATCCTGTATATAAACTGTGATAAATTGTCATCATTTTTTTTTTGCCACTGAAGTTGGCACTAAATTGAATATGATGCTAAATTGAAGTACAGTACTTCAAACAATAAAAATTATATATAATTATAAGGCCTACTCAAGTTTGATAATTTGATAGTAATGCAATATGATGACAACAATATCATTTATAATGAAAAATTGCACATTTAGTAACTCACAAATGCTAAATGATTCTCTATTTAATATATATGAGGAAGATGCATTTACAAGCATTCAACAGAGTTTTGTGAGGGTGATATTATTTAGGAGGATAATATATTGAGGTTTGACTTATATTTATTGTGTGTGTAATTAATTTATAGTTATTTGCCAATTTAATTTTCATATGCTTTTTCTAAAATGTAAGTTCCATTACACATATATTTTAAATAAAATATAATTTGTAATTTCAAGATAATTAAAAATTATATTTTTTTACTTTTTATTATGATGCTCATCAATATTGAATGTTCAAATCTTTTTATTTAGAATTCTTAATTGCTAATAAATATAAACAATGAAGTTTGAAATTTATTTACTGTATTTAATTAAAAATTAATAATAATATTAAATTCAATACAAGATGGCAGATTAACTGCCTACCTTTATGTCAAATTATGTAGTGTTTATGAAATTTTACTACATAATTTGGCATAAACAATTCTTAATTAATCTGGCCTTAATGTTAAATTTGATATATTTGAAATAATAATGAAATATGTTTGAATTTTGATAGATAAAATAGTTAAATACTTAAGGGAAGTTTTCAAGAAGTAAATTATATTCAACATGTTTTTTAAAATATATGGTAAAATATACTTCTTCTTCTGTTAAAATCTCTATGATAGATGCTTATTCATATATATGTTGATAGCTAGACTACAAACGTCACTTTATTGATTTCTATCAAATATACTAAAGAAAAAATATTGTTTCTGTATGTTGTATTGATCATAGTTTCGATAGAAGAATAAATTTTCTTTATTCTTCTGTTATAAGAAAACTATGATCAGTATCATAAGAAAACTAAAAGAATTAAATAAATTGAGAAATAAATTAAATAAAATAACTAAATAAAGAAATATGAATTATAAAAACTAGACTTCTGATTTAAGCCCTAATTAAAATGATCCAAATAATATATTGTCATATTAGTATTTATATATTTTAATTAGGACTTAAACACAAAATTCAACTTTAATAGTTCACTCTACTCTATACATAATTTAATGTGCTATATTTCAAATATAATATAATTAATCTAACATTTTTCATGCAATTATTCTAAATTAATTGTTTTATTAAATTCTTATTTTTTGATGTAATTTTTATTATCAAGTTAATAATGAAGCATAATGAACATAATTTAAGCTTGTATCTTTGTTATAAATATTTGAAAGGGAAAAAGTTTACTAATAAATCACCATGGATTATGTGTTTTCACATTCATTACTATGAGACATTTTGTTAATACTTCAAAATGTATTGTAAAATTAAATAATTAATATAATTTATTAAGTCACAAGGATCATCACAGTGTGTTAGTTTCTCCTGTAGTTAGGAAATTTTTTTTCAGAACTTCATACTCTGGACAGTTGATTTAGGGTATCTTTGTTTTGGAGTTTCACAATATTGCAAGCAGGATTATTTCTTTTTAGCTGGAATGTGCTAGTAGGCCATTCTTATATATAGTATAAAAGTATGAATAGCTAGTATTCTGTACCAGCAGTTGCTCAGAAAGAAAAGTTTTATATATTCAGGCAAGAAATCTGGTGACTGACATGATGATGATGATAAACAAAACAAACTGTGCCACTCTCTCAGTCACAACAAATGTCATGAGATTATTGGAGCTAACATAAAAAACAATTGAGATGGGAACTCTCCTACTTTTCATTGAGGCCATCTTTCAATGAACAGAAAATAAAGTCTGGTAATTATCTTTTTCTGTTTTGTTCTTGTCAAGAAATGAGGTACATTACAGAGAAGCATTAAGATCTGAAGATACTTGCAGCATTATTAGTACAGTGTCTAATGTAAAACAATGTAAAATTTGTATTATACAGATATCTTTTAAAAGAGAAATAGAATCTTATACAAAAAATTTTTAACAATGAAAAGTTACATCAAGTATACAGTAGATTTGTTTTTATGCATGTCAACAATAAAATAGAAATCACTGTAAAGAATATGCATCAGCCAACAGATGAAAGGTGTCAGCCCAAAATGTGTATTGACACAATTGGTTTAAATACTGTAAAGCATAGGAGAATAAAGTAAATATGAAAAAGTCTGGTGCTTAAAATCAACACTTCATAGTGACTTTAAAAACAATTAATTATAATATTTTGAAAGGGAAAAGTAAAAATGTGGTTACAAAAGGACATCATTTAGCAACTGATAATAAATCAAAAACATGAAATAGGGAAGAAAGTGCAAACAGATATACAAAAATAAATGAAAAATACTATAAATGTTACAATATGAATGAGTATATTTGGAAAGAAAAACTATTTATTTTACTGTTAGTTAAAGTTCTGTTCTAGGAAAAGTATAATATATTTTTTTAACAATATTAACAATATTTTTAGTCACTCTACATATATATACTGTCAGTAATTTTTTTTTTAGGAAAAGAGCACTGATCATAACTGTGCTCAATCAATCATCAGTATGCAAAGAGAGTGGTGTTCTAGCTCCATGTCTCACTTGTAGTTATCTCTTCAGATTAACTAAGATTCAGATATTCACTGAAAGAGAGAAGAGTGATTCTAGAATCAAACAGGTCAAACATTCAAGAAAAATCAGTATCTATTAAAGTATGAATTAGTTGTATTATCATTCAACAGCAGCATAGTTATAATGGTTGTATTGACTTTAAATGAATATTAATCTACTAATAATAGCTTTCTATTAATAAATTCCATTAATACAAAAATAATATAGAGTAGTTATGCATTTGCATTTTGGTAATTGATATATGTGTCAACAAAATTAAAAATTCCATAATGAGTCACTAAATTTTTAAAACTGGTCAAAAATAAAAAGTTATATTTTTGATCAGTTAAATTTAGTCATTAAGTTTAAACTGTAATGTCACAATAAGGTGCAAATTAGCAAAATATATATAATTACATAGTATGTATTGTGTAAATGTGAATTTGCTATTGTTGCATAATGTATATTATGAAAAAGTTATATAGTGGTCTTAATTATCTTTATCTATCTTTCTGTTTCTTGCATTAACAATGATTTTAAAAAACTATTTCAGGAATAAATAAACTTTGTTTTTCAAAACAGTGTTTATAGAATTTATAATTGTCATAATTATTATTTCTTAAAGTATTGAAAGATCACTAATAATTTTATCAGTGTGCTATTATTTCTTAGAACATATATCTATTAAATAGGTTTTTAATTCCATTCAATTTAAATAGAAGCTAATCAAAAATAATTATATAAGATTTACAAAACTAATTAGGAAGTAACTAAATTATTTTTACTGTATATATAAAATACAGGTATCCCTTGTAAACATGCACTTCTACAAGAGTCAAAGATTGGGAAAATTCCCCATACAATGGATTTTTTTTTCTTCTTTGTCCTAGCTTTCTTATCATTAAATGTCATTGCTTTCAGATTTTAGCCTTTAAGACTGTCACTGTTTTGTTTTTTATAGATTAATCTTCATATTTAGTAAAGTTTATTTAAACATTTTTAGGTAAGTGTTATTAATATTTTTTTAACCATAGGTAAGTAATCATTCATAAAAATGAGGAACAAAATACAGCGGCATCTTGGTACTTGAACTGTTTCCAACTCAAACAATTCAATATTCAAATACAAATTCTGGAAAAAAAAAATTGCTCAGTCCTCAATTGAACAAATGCAACCCACTAGAAGAAATTTTTAATTAATAACATATTTTTATTTTACCATAAAAAATTTTTATTAATAAGAAAAAATGAAGACATCACTGATATTTTTGATCAAGGTCAACAAAAAAGCTCAGAAGATGACAATACTTTGTAAAAAGAAAATGCCCTGGTTTAACTAAAATTAATATTAATGCATAATACAGTACTTTAATTGTAATTGTTAGTTAATTATTGATTGGTTTAATAAACATATTTCTCTTAGTAATAAAAAAGAATAATATACTGTACTTTTGTTAACTTTTGGAACCTAACCCTATGTTTTGTATTGTATTGTATTCTAATTCTTATTCTTAATTTTCTAATGGTTTAGAGTCAAGTTTTGTAAAAACAAATAAAATAATTTAATAAATTTAATAACCCCAAAAATTGATCATAAATTATTCTATATGTTTGTTCTAATAAAATGTAAATATTCCTTATTAATATTATACTTCAAATTGATCTTTTTTAAACCTTATATGAATAAGGAATATTATAGGTTATAAACTATAATTATGAATTTATGTAAATTGAAACTCTTATTTAGAAATTATATTTATTATAGATCATTCTCATGTCACCCAAATTTTTCCTCTTCCTAAAAAGAGTTTCACCTCCAGTTTTTCTTTTATCATTTTTGCTCTTTATTTTCTGTAGATTTGCTTTTGCTTCTTGTTCATTTTTCTCTCTCAAAATAATTCTATCTTTTTGGACATCATAAAATTTTTCTTATGATCAAACATATTGTTTTTCCAATGAACAGTATAGTTAGAATTCTTGTGTTATATAATGGAAAAGGTATAATGAAATATCACTAATATCCAGCAAATATTTTACTAAATAACAACAAAAGCCAAATGTTTTCAACAAATTTTAAATTATCATCAGGTTAAAAAGCAGGGAATGGAAAAGGTTTATATATATGACTTTGTCTTAATTATGCATTTAAATTATAATTACTGTATATATTATTTTGAAAATAATGAAAATTTATTTTGTTTAGGAAATGATCCAGGCATATCACCTGATGATCCTCAATGGATTGGTGCTTGGTGGCTTGGAGTGTTTATTGTTGGAGCCGCTCTGTTTGTTACATCAGTGCCTATGATGGCATTTCCTCGCAAACTTCTTCCGTCAGATTCTCCCCATCATAAATGGTCTGCAATATGCCAACATCATCTTGTGTATAAAAATAATCAATTAGCAAAAAAGCAGTCAAAAACACCTAGTCTAAGAGGTAAGAATATTAATGAAAATATTATCTGACTATATGGTTATCAATTTTTAATATATAGTCAGTTATGTCATTTTTTTCCAATAAAATCATATGTACTGTACTTTTTAATAATAATATATTAAATTAAACATACTGAAGAATACTTAAGATTTTTAGAAACAGACTTTTTATGGCTTTTATGGGCTGATTTTTATTAATGTTGGAATTTAGTGGAATTGAAGTATATCTATGCCCACCAGTGACCAAGTGGTCTTTGTACCCTAAATACTGGGAGTTCGGTCGTGGGTTCGCGCCGCGATCGGACAGGCTGGCTGCTTGGAGTTTTCCGGGTTTTCTCCTTGCCAATAACGACTAAATAGGAGGCCAGTTCCCCATAAAAGTCCTCCCGGAAGGCATTAGTTCCCCTCGCGTAACATCGCGCCCCAGAGAAGGCAACGGGAAACCACTCTGGGTAATAACTTTCCCTAGTATACACCTTGGCGCGTTACTAACTACTTATTAACCTACGCCAGGTGTCGCCGACGTCGGGGCTCTGATATGGCACCCTGATGACGAAGTATATCTGGCTTAAATTTTCCAAAAAAATAGCAAGAATCTGCTGGAATCTAATTAATGCAACAAATATTATTAACAATTTTTGTGTTTAGCAGACTTACTGACTTATTACAATATTATGTTTTTATTCATATACTATATTCAATACTTAATATTATGTAGAAGTGTCCTTACTACTTTGTGTATCCAGGTAGGAGCCTAATCCTTCTTGAAATTTAGTTGTGTAAATTTAATTTCCACCAACCAGGCATTTGTTATATTGTATAAATGTTTTAGAATGTGCTTTTTACAAAATAAAATATTTTCCCACAGAAAAAGACTTATCATGATTACAACCTTCTTATAGTAAAAATGTTGTGTCCTAACTGCATCAACAACATAAATTAGAATTTGGCAACTTTGATGCTTTCAGTTTATTCTGCAAAGTGTGAAAAATGTTTAATGACCATGTCTATAGCAGGTTAAAAGTATTGATATATGTGCAAAGAGACATTTTTAAGTTTTAACAACTGCTTGGAAACAAATTAATCTGGGTAAGTATTGTATGTTCTTACCAACCTGTCATGATTTTAATAATAAAATTTTTTTAAATAATTAGGTAAACATGAGAATTTGTAAATGTGTGATACTTTTTTCACAATGAAACAGCAATGTTCAAAATGAATACATACTCTTGTAATATTATTGTTAATATAAATGCTGCCACAGTTCTTATTGCCACTACTGAAATTGTGGTAATGTTGTGGTTGGAGTGTAAAAACACTCCAACCACATTTTTAAACATAAAAATAAAGACTAAACATTCTTAATTTGTTGTTTAAAACAGAATTTGTGATGAATTAACAATAAAATTTCTGTGAATTTTCCTTTTCAGAAGTCACATAAGTCCCTCACCAAATGCTTTTACAAACTGGATTATTTGATCATTACTAAGAACATTGAACACAATTTTTAATTTTACCATCATTCATTCCAAAGTTTGAAATATTATACTATTCTCCTTCAAGTTCCAAAATGGAACAAAATGTTTAAGGCCTGAAACAAACTTGTAATTAGGTCAAAAAATTTTTGCACATGAAAATTAAACTCCTGCTGGTATTAAAATAAGGTTTTTGATGAGTTGATGCAAGTCCCACAAGTGTCAAATAATGTTTGATAAAAATGCAAGAAATATCCAGTTAAGTATGTAGAATATTTACATAAAGAAAAGGAGAGGAATAGGAAAAAGAATTTGGAAAGTTTCCTAGCATAAAGGAAATGATGATTATGCTCAAAAAGTAAAACATAAAATTAGTGTAACAGTAAAAGGAAGTACCAAAAGAAAGAATAAAGAAATATCAACAAATTTTGCTCAAAAGATCCTTCATGTAGAGCTCAAGAGAATAGAATTTGTCTTTAAAATCAGTAACACTACATGACAAGAAGGTTGCTGGTACGAAAAGGGCTAGGAGAGATAAATGCACTTTTGATAAAAAGATTTAGAAATTAGAAGAAAAACTTGAGAATGATGAAAGAAAAACAAAAAGGTGAAGTACAGACTAGCAAAGTAATAGAAAAAGATAGAAAACATACTTAATCCAGCTCTTTCAAATTAACAAGTCTCACAAATACCCAAGACTTTTGACCTTAGTTTACAAAAAGATGAATCTATACTGAACAGTGTAAAAAAGGAATACAAAGAAAATTTTGTTTCTGCATAACGTTAGTCATAGTTCTTGGATCATAAAGTATTGCAAACTAAAATCCCAAAAGGATAAGCAAACTTTTCATCAGTAAATGGAAGGCACTATCCTAAGAAAGCACTAGTTGCTAACAGAAGCTAAAAGCTCTTATGTTCCAGATCTGAGACAATAGTGTCTATAAAACAGTAAAAGTAAACTGCATCTGTCAGCTCAATCCAACCTAAATTACCTGTACAAGCTTGCAGTCTTTTCCACAACAATATGTCTTTACAGTCACTCTTATTGTCTCTACCACAACAAATATAAAAAGTATTTCCTATTTTTAACTGTTAAATGTATTTGTATTCTCTCTATATTGTTAATAATGCTTATGCAAGATGGAAATTATATTCTTTATTGATCCAAAAATTAAAAAACTAAACTTAATGAAACAAATTTATAATAATTATTGTAATTAATATTCTCTAATTTATTTTCCAAAATAATTTTAGATTTAAAAGTATAATTGTAGATAATCAAAACATTCATCAAAGTTTAAGTTAAATAAAATATAACTTTTTACAAAAGTGTTAAAAGTCTGTTTCAGTAAAGTCATTTTTTTTTACATCAGAAAACTTTTAAAATTCAATGTATTCTTTAAAAATGACACTGTGACATACTTAATATTATCTGACAATAACCATTCTAGTATGCTTTGGTTGGTTAATTTTTAGTTTTGAAAAATTATGGGAAGCATTATCAAAGCATTATCATATCTTATATACCAGAATTTTCTGAGATTATTTAAAACATTTAACAAAACATATTTTTGGAGAATTAATCTTAATAATAATATTAAAATAAAAATATTTTTTCTGTTTACTTAAATTTTAAACACCATTAAATGTAGTGGAAGATCAATACTAATCATCAAATGTAAGGGGAAAAACTGCAATTAAATTATTCAAGTTTTTTAAGTGGAAATATGTAAATTAATAATTATTAGCATTTTAAATGAAGTTGTATAAAAAATCATTAATATTTATACTGTTTTTAAAATCAGACAATGTACTTTTTTGTATATACCGGTCGAACCATTCGTAAAGTTTTAGTTGAAAGATTTTTATTTTTGTAAATCTCCTTCAAATATCAGTTCTCAAAGGTTTTATTTTTAAGAATTTTCTTTACAATATGAAATTATGTTATCAACAGATAGCTCATCATTAACTAAATTTATTGTTTAAAACTAATAGTAACAAATAGAGACATATGTGAATATTATATCATAGGATTTGCAAAATAATGCAATTAAATCAGTTCCATTTCTTCTCAAATTCAATTTTTAATGATTTCAATGCAATTAAAAATAAATTGCTTAAAGTATGTCAGGTAATTTGTCAGCATAGTACCTTTACAAGAATGAAAAATTTGAATATATGTTCAGTAATATGTAAGAAAACAATATGTTAAAGAATTTAACATCAACTTTGGCTGAGTCCTTTGAATTAGAAAATGTTTCTCATTCATTAAACATTTATTTCTTAAATTTTTTAATTTGCAAAATAGAAATCCTTTAATGACATTTTATTTCTATCAGTTTATTATGTTTCATCTCATCAAACATTTCTACAGAAAATCTACTTAATAATTACTGTAGTAAAATTTTGTTTATTAATATTTTGGATTCGAATAATAATTTATATAAATAATGTTTCAAAAATTATCTTTCAAGTAATTGCTTCAGATAAATTATAATTTATTTAATTTAAATAAATGTTTTAAGTAATTTTTATAACTTGATTTGAATTTTGATATTAATATAAGAATTATCAATCTTGAAAATGGTATATGCTATGAAGGTTAATATTAATTTTAAATACAATCTTTTTAAGAAAATATATTAAATGTTATTAGTTTAATTAAATTTAAAATTTTACAAATTAACTTAAAAATTATTTCATTGTAATAAATTAATTAAAATAAAAATAGCAAGAATGTTTTGAAATTAAATCAGTTCCTGGTTTATTTTAAAATTATCTGGATTGTTTAATGCAATCTATAATTTTTAATCTGTCTATATCATATCTTTCAGTAATTTATCTAATAACTAGATATATGCCTCCACTTGAGTGATAATTTTTTTCAATAAGAATTTTTTTTATTTAAAATGATTACATTCTTGCTTAAATCATTTTTTTTTATTGATAGATTTAATATAAATTAACAAGGTATATATGATATGGTTTATTTTACAAATTACTATTGGATTATAAATAGATTGTTAATTGCTGGGCAATTATGAGGAAAGCATTTACTAAAGGTCAAAATGAATTAAAAGTTAAAACTATCAATTTTATCATAAAAAAATGATAAATCATCTTTTGTAAATATATTATATATATAAGAGCACACTTTATTATAATATAGTCAGCAAATATCTTGCTAATTCATATTTTTAGAATTTTTTTTTTAATGAGAAATATTTTTATAGTTATTTTTGATTGGTAAAAGAAATGATATCATTTGAAATTTAAACAGTTTTTACTATTTAAAAGTTAAAAAATTAAAAATGTATAAAAGGAAAATTTTAGGAAGTTTCCAATGAAATGAAAAATTAGTTTAAAATAAAAAGCAATATTATATATTATATTGTAAAAGCTTTTTAAAAATGGGGATGCATCACCATTTTTAAAAAGTTTTTATAATTTCAGGAAAAAATCAGATGATAATTGGAAGTAAATATATTTGAAAGAATTTATTAAAGAATTAAAATGTTAATACTACATTTAACGTATAAATAACCTTAATCTTAACTTCGTATTTAACTGAAAATAAAAATGTTATTTCCTGTTTATTTTTACATTACGTAGAACTTTTGAAGAGTGAGAAAGAATACCTCAAATTTAAGACATATTTTAATATTAAATATATATATGTATGTATTGATATTTGTTACACTCAAAGACCAAACAGGCTCATTAAGTGACTAAATCAACCACAACTCATTCTGACTTCTTAGATCTAATCATAATGTGAATTTTGTGTCATGGCAATTTCAAAAATGCACATAATGTTTTTACACATTCAATAAGACCACAAAGCAAAATTTATGCTGAGATTCTTTTAATAATCAACCAAAATGTGATCTGGAAATGTAAAAATATCACAGTGCATTGTGGATGCTTTTAATGACACAATGTAAGAAAAATAAGTAACAAGTTTGTTTAGAATTTGATTTATTTCTAAATAATAATCTACATTAAGAATTTCCACCAAAGGATCAATTCTGAACAATGTTTATTATTAGAAAAATTCTCATCAGTGAAAGTTCCTATCACAAAATATTATATCATTTAAAAGAACCATAATATAATAAATGCAACTCTTCATTTTCTTTTATAGTTCAATCAAGAAGACAATTTGCTGTCAGTTGTTTTGTTTATAAATTCTTTATACCTACATATGATACCTAAAACAAATATAGATTTAAGTCAAATAAAGAAATTTATTTGTAAATTACTTTGTCAATTGAGTGCAGATTTGTTTTTTATAATGATACTCCCAGAAAAAGACCAACTACAAACAAATTTTTATATTAATATTAGTAAAAATTAATGATAAACAGAAGTTTCTGTCTTAGAAATTTAAGGCTAACACATAAGATTAATAAGGCTAATTGTTTATTTTCAGTATAATTCTCAATGTAAATTATAATATTATTTTATTCTAAATAATAAAAGAATTTGTTACTTATTTTTGCACAGTTATTTTTATTACATTGCATCATTAATAATCATCTACAATGCACTGTAAACTTTTCATATTGCCAGACTGCATTGATTGATTATTGAAAGGAATCTCAGCGTAAATTTTGCTTTTTGTCATCTTACTGAATATGCAAAAATGAATTATGTGCATTTTCAAAAGTGCCAGAATATGATATCCTGACACTTTTGAAAATTCATATTGTGTCTGGATCTGTGGATCTAAGAAGTCATTAATGTGGTAAATTTCATTTAATGAGTGTTTTTGGTCTTTGAGCCTAACATATACATAAAACTGTATGATATATAATGCAATACTTACTTTATATTATGTCCTTATGTAATGTTTAATCTATTTTTCAAGAATATACAAATTGTAATTTAGCATATTTGTTGTATACTACAGTATGGCCTTGTTTTACATGGATGTTATCTCTTATCAAATACAACATAACAAAAATTCAAAAAGATATTACAATAAAAGCACCAACTATCACTTGTAATTCAATTAAAATAAACAAATTTATTAAAGGAAGGTTTTAATTAATAAATTTGATCAAACAAAAATTCCATGTAAATTTGTGCTTCACTCCAAAAGTAGCCCTAGTTGATTCCTTAAACTAATAGTTCTCAAATATTTTTGGCTTGTGAAAAATGTAAGATTTTTCTAGTGCACTTTGTGTAAAAAATTAAAAACATGTTATATTTTAAATTATGAATAGCTGTATACTATAATAACTGTTACCCCATAGGCCTAGCTTAGCTATTAGTTGATCAAGGATGTAATAGATCTTTGTACAAATGAGTTTCTTATTTTTGAAAATATACTGTCACAATATTTGTGGCACTTTTAGCTATCTCTTGCAGCACGCCAATGTATCTTGGTGCACCAGTTGAGAACTACTGCCATAGACATTTATTCAATTATGTACAATTAAGAAAACATTTAAAATGTGTTTAAAACATTTTACTTATATTTTACTGTACCAAATAACATTTTAGTCCGTGTTTCTGAATATACAGAACAAAATTATATTGTATACTACTAGAAAAATATTCATGTAAACCAGAGTATTCATGTTCTATGTTTTTGCAGTGTCAGAAGCTGGAGAAGCAATGTTTGCTGGAGAACATTTTCTTACAGCATGGAAAATAAGTTTCATGAACTAAGTGAACATTTTAAAGATGGCATTTTATGTAAAAAGAGAAATTTTACATAAAAATATGTTTCCTGGATATCTTGAAAACAAGAAAGGGACTTGAAACCTTTCGGTGCCACTAGAAATGGGGTTAATTGAATCATTTGCCATCTGTGATAACATGAATTCACATATAGCAATCTCTTAAAGCAAGACCCTACTTTTATTTTTAACTTAGCTGAAAAAATTTCAATAGACATAAAAATATTTTATTCACTTCAGACAGAAGTCTCTGGTCATACATGCTTGCTTATTTAATTTTTTGAATTTGTTTAAGCATTACACATGTCATCTCATATGTATAGCCTTAACATTGCTTCTTGTTAAAATCAACAAATGAACATATGCATGTCTAAACTGAAATAAAAATTGTGTTTTAGAAAATAAGGAACATTGCCTTAATAAATACTTCAATATATTTGTGAACTAATTGACGATTTTCGCTTTTTCATAAAATTTCAAGCAAAAAAATATTAACAAAATAATTTTGTCATATCAAATATTAAAATTATAGATGTTTTAATCTCAATAAAATTGTCAAAGTTACAGCCAATTTACAAGCTGTAGTTTTCCATAATTTTTAAAAAAATAAAATCAATAACAAAAATAATAATTGTTTCGTTTTTTGAAACCATGTTTTCGTATTTATTTACTATTGAACACAAGACTGTGTTATTATTAAAACACTTGGCGTTTATCCACTTTATTCAGTTTATTCAGTCAACTGAATAAAGTGGATAAACGCCAAATGTTTTAATAATAACACAGTCTTGTGTTCAATAGTAAAAAAATAATAATTGTTATTGATTAAAGGTCAATAACAAAACTAATACTTTAAATATAAATTAAGTTGTAACTAAATATATGTTTCCTTTTCATTGGTTTAAATTATAAAAATAAAATTAATTAATCAATACCTTTAATACAGGATATAGAATTAAAGAGGATGATGTAAAAACATAATAAGGATTTTATTGATTACATTTTAAATCCTTTAATAAATAAATAATTATGGCAGTTATGCTTTTGAATATCTATCATAAGATTAAAAATATTTGTTTGAATTGATTACAGTTAAATCTTCCAACAATTAAAGTATGACAAAAAAAATACAGCAAATTTTTTCATCTACTCATAAATTTAAACAGGAAAAGTGAATTTCAGTATTTATCAAGAAGAAAAGCTATACTGAGAATGATATTCTTATCATCAGATGTTATTTTATTATTTTAAAAAGTATTGTGATAAAATAAAGCTTATATAATAAAAATGTTATATAAGTTATTTCCTTTGATTATACAAATAAAAAACTTAAACATTATAAAAATGCAAAAATAGATCTTAGTTATTCTATTCTATTCTATTTAATATTGTGACAATGAGTTCATTTGGTATATTTTGATATATTATAATATTTGTAGTTGTTTTGCTTTGTTTTTATTCATATAATAAAGACTGACAGTTAATTAAAGTTTAATAATAATGGTAAGTACAGAAAAATGAAACATCAGAGAGTTTTATATCATCTAATATCATTAAAAAAAATTTTTTTTAAATATATGTTTTACAAAAAAAAAACAAAAACAAAATTACATAAATGATCACTTTAACACAAATCAAGCAATAATAGAATATTTGACTTAGAATTAAAAGAAATAAAAATACTATAATTTTTAAACATTTCAGAGATATTTCTTAAGGAAATAACAAATTATAATCTTTACTGATAGCAAATTTGAATATATTATATATATTAAAATAAATTTTGTCTAAAAATACTACTAAAAGTAAAGAAGTTCCATGAAAATCAACAAGATAAAGAAGTTTTCTAGACCATTTTTATAATTAATCATTAATCAAAATTATTTAAAAAGAATAATTTTAAAAACTGTTGTTTCTTGAATATTTTTGATGAATGATCTAATGATGGATAAATCCAGCATTCCCAACATTTAGGAATGTAGCCAAAATGTTGAAATGTTGGATTTATTTTACTCACTAAAACTGTTTTAGCATGCTCCACTATAGTAGTTGTCAAGTGCATATGTTAGGACTTTGTGTGTCTATCAGACATGCTCATGCATGCTCCATTCAATTCATTCATTGTGCATGTCCACTTGCATGTGCAAAAGGGAACTGAACGTTTTCATTTATGGTCACTTTAAGCTATAGTAAAATCTATTCAGTGATATACAGTATATTCAGTGAAAAATTCTTCTGAACAACTATGTGATTCCAAGAATTTATAAAATTTATTTTAAATAAAATTAATATTTGATTTGCTTTTGTGGAGCATGCTATCAGATCGGCTTGACCAAGCTTGTTTTGAATGTTTCTGATGAATGATCTGATGATGAGATTTTATTCCGATAAAATTTATCTTGTTAATTTTTGTGGGCTTCTTTATTTTATGGAATAATTTTAGACTGTCTTTGACTCCCTATGATAAATTTCAGTTATCAATATCTGAATCAAGTTTTTAAATTTGTAATTTAACATTGAATTGCATATTGAATAGTACTTTTTCTTATTTATTGTTAGTTCATAAAATATGTTATCTTAGTAAGTTTTTTCTTTGTATTTTTCAGATTTTCCAACTGCCATGCGTCGCTTGTTAAGAAACGATGTACTTTTGTGTCGAACAGCCAGCAGTGTACTTCACATTCTTCCTATTGCTGGCCTTTATACTTTCCTTCCAAAATATTTAGAAAGTCAGTTTCAACTGACAGCAACAAAGGCTAATATGATATCAGGTTATTTATTTATATTTAATGATTTCATTATTATTTATATATTTGGATTATACTTTATTATTTAAGAAATTAAATTTTTAATATAGAAACTAGAAATATTGAATATTATTACAAATTTGAATAATCAAGTAATTTGTATAAGCATAAAGCCAGTTAATATTGGAAATAAAATAAACATGTATTCAAAACATTTTGTTTTTTCTCATCTTAAAAGTATTTTATTTTTTCAAAATTTTAAAAATTTAATATTTATTTTGATATCTACTTAAAGTATATTAAATTTTGAGACTTGTATTTACTGATATTATGTAAAAAAATAAATTTTTTTTACAAAATATTTAATTGTTCTTGATGTTCAGTTTGTGGTGAGGATATTTTGTTTTCTTAGTTAAAAAAAATTCTCATTTTTGACAATTACAAATTCAAACAAGATATTTATAAACATTTTAACATTAAATAAACATAAATATAGTAACTAACAAAATAACTTTCTGTAAAAAAAGTCTTTTTTTTATAAACATCCATTATTTACAGTTAAATATATATTATAAAATAATACAGTTGTGTTCAAATAATGTACATATATTTATAAACAAATATAAAATATAATAAACAATTAGGAGTTAAAAATATATTTTAAAAATTCTTTCTAGAATGACTACAATTTACTTATTCAGTGCAGTAATAAGGATGGAGTAAATGGGACAGTTGTTTTGGGCAATATTGTAGATACAAAGCAAAATTTTTTTAAGATAAAAATAATTTCATGTTTTCAAATTTATATGTTTAAGAACATAAAATATATCATTAGTATTTTATTTATATTTAATAAATAAAAATAGTGTTTACTATTATTTTAGACACACATGGACACAACCAGGCACACCTGTAAAACCTAGTTACAGATGGCATTGTTTGTGATATTCTTCAAATGCTGATAATGATTTCATTATATTTTTGCAAATAAAGTAAATTAAACTAATCTCAGAATTAATCTTTATAGGAATTGCTGGAATTCTAGTAATGGGCATTGGAATATTTGCAAGTGGAACATTTATGAGGAAATTCAAACCTAACGCTACATTTGTTGCCAAATGGATTTCTGCTGCTGCTTTAATATATTCCTTAGGAATGGTTATTCTAATGTGGTTGGGATGTCCTTTAAATAAATTTATTGGTCTTAATGCTGACAGGTAATAATAAAAAAAAATGAGTAATTTATTTCTAATTATAAAAGAAAAATCAAAATGCTAAAGCTTTCATTCATTTATTTATTTAATTGAAAATATTCTCTGAAAAACTAACAAAATACTTTTAATTAAAAAGGTTTTTACTGTTTTTTATTATTATTTAAATTTTTTTAAGGTAAAACAATACAAATATTGTTATTAATTTTACATTTTTTCTTATTAAGTGGTAGTAGATATATTTTGTAATCTATTCTCTAATTTAAAATTATATGTATGCAGTCCCAAACTTTCAATGTAATGTATTCCTAAACATTTTTTGGAAAGTTGAATGTCTGAAAGTAAAACCATAGAGATAAGTTGGTTGCAAAGGTTAAACCATTAGTGTTAGGTGTTACTATTCAAGCTATTTTTTTTATGATACCAACCAATCCAGCAGTATAATATTGATTTATGTTAGGTATAGTATAATGTTTAGTGAGTGTTTTTAATATTAATATTAATCCAGTTTTCAGTCATTAATATAAGTTTGGGATAGCTGATGGTATTATCACTGTTTAGGGGATTGTGAATTAGGATTGACATGCAACAATCCCAATTCACAATCAATTAATACAATCCCCTTTCTTGTTGGTACAAAATATTTCAAGTTTTCTTAGGGTTGTTAACATTCAATCATCATAAACCATTCTTATAATTTTGGCCTCAAGTGTGACAGGCATATTAGAAAAGTTCCTGTTTTTGGAGAAGTCTATAATTATAGTTAAATAAAACTTAACTGTAATATATAAATAAAGTGTAAGGTAAATTAAATAAAATATAACTTCAAGTAACGTAATATAAAATTCAAAATAAATATAACTTGTGGGAAATCTCATAAACTAGTATTACAGTTGAGTATATGTATGCACTTTTTTAATATTTAATTTTATAATAATAATATACAGGAAATCCTCATTAATTCAAACTTGGATAGTTTAAAATTTCATTAGTTTATAACTCTACTATTTGTCCCAGCTGGGGATATAGAGATTTACATGTTAAGGAATTCAGTTAATTTGAAATAAGGCTACTTCAAAATTCAAAGTGAAAATTCTGTCCAAACTGTGATACATGTATGTTAACACATTCGTTTAGATCAAAATGCCTCCATACAATAAGAGAACAATAGACCAAGAACAACTCTAAACTTATCAATATAGCTTTGCTTTTACAGTAACACATTTTTAGGTGACACCTTATCCAAGGACTATCCTTTTTTCTCTTATGTCATAAAATACAGCTGAGTTTCAAGCTTGCAAGATTGGGCTACAAGTAACAGATTGAGATATTTGTGGGGCTCTAGGCTACTGTATTTGGGTGACTTACTACTTTTTGGGCCACTTTAAAAATAATTTGATTAAAAAAATAAAAAATGATAGAAATAGTAAATCATTATTAAGAATAACTGTAAATCAAACTTTTTGCTATTAATTTTTAATGTTAATGATATGCATAAAGTATATGTTCATAATTGCATGTTTGAATACATATTTATGTTTTTTTTGTAAAGTGTCTTTTCTTAATAGAATTGCAATTGTAACTTTTTTAATGAATTCATAATAAATTTAATTTAAAATAAATATATATAAAAATTATTTATTTATTTATTTTTTAGCAACATTGCCACAAATCCAGTTTGTAGTGAAAACTGTGGATGCAGTTTGGGAGAATTTGCCCCAATATGTGCAAATGATGTAACATATGTATCACCATGTTTGGCAGGTTGCCATAAAAGAAATACATCAGTTGATGATCAAGTAAGAAAATCTTCATAAGATTACTAAATATATAATATACATTACTAGATAAATTATAAAGATTACTAAATATACAAAAAATATCTATTTGTAATAAATCAGAATAATTATAAAATAAGTTGATATGCCCTTATAAAATGCTATATTAAAGAAATAAAATTGAAGAATATTCTTCCTGCTTGGAAACTTTAACATAATTTAATAGTTAATAACTATTAATTAGAAAATAATTAGGCATTTTCAAATACAATGTAATGAAAAGCTAGTATTAATGTTTTAATTTTCTTAGGTTTTTAAATTTTTGAATTTCTCATCAACATTATTTATACTATTTACAAGTATTATAGTAACTATTATTATAATTTAGATAACCAAACTCTCTTAAGAAAACTTTTCAATTTTTAATTACCAGTAAATCATCTACAGCATTATATAAAATTGCCAATTATATACCAATAGATCAGTGGTTATCAAACTTTTTTGCTTATAGTGCACTAAAACATGAAAAATTTTTCTGACACACTTTATGTACAAAATTAAAAGTATATTAAATTATAAATAACTGTGTACTATAATAACTACTATACTATAGTTATTATAATACACAGTATAGTTATTATAGTATACTATAGCTATTAGTTTATCATGGATATAATAAATCATTGTACAAATTGGTTTCTTTTCATTTTTAAAATATGCTTTCATAATATTTATGGTACATTTAGTCATCTCTTGAGATGCATCAGTATGTGTATCATTTGAGAACCTCTCTCACTAAATAAATAGTGAATACAGTTCATACTTTGCTAAACATAATCAGCACTGATCAGAAGGGCTGTGGTTATTCTCTTCGGTTTCAGCAATAAGAGGGCCAAGATGGTCCCTCAGTAAGTCTGGGGCCAGAAGATGATTGCTGTAGCCACTACTAACAAGATTCCCAAGGAGGTCTTGTCTTTGGACTAGGGTTTCTAGGGTTAAAAAAAAACAACCAGGATCCTGAAAATTATTCTTATCCTGGGAAATCCCACAAATTTCTTAAAAATTTACTTTTTTCTTATTTTATGTTAAGGTTTAGGAAATTTTGCAAATAGAAAGTATAATCTATATATATATATAAAAATGGACATGTATGCCCCTATATTTCACTTTTCCGCAAAAACTACACATCGCACGTGAATGGTGTTTGTATGTGGTGGTAGCCCCAAGTCTCCATTCGTGCATAGGGGTGGTTGCGTCTCGATAGCTATAAGGGTGCGGGAGATATGGGCTTGAAAGTGGTTGAAAGTGGCTTTCTATTTCGAATGTTGTGTTCAAATTTGTTTGAATTAAATTCGAACATAAAATTCGAATATTGGTTCGATTATAGAACGATTGTAAACGTTCCAGAAATGTTGAAAATAGTTCGTTTGACTAAACATAAAAATTCTCTAATTAGTCTGGAAACAGAGGACCTAATTCTTGCATTCTGTGAAAACGGGTAAGATTAGCTATAATGTAATTATCTTAATCTTCACTATCGTTACTTTTTGCCCAGCGAAGCGGGTCCTTGCAGCTAGATTCTAGATTACTCAGAAAAACAGTCTTTTATATATAAAAAAAAAACTATATTACATACAAATAAAAACCCAGCGAAGCGGGTCCTTGCAGCTAGTTAACTCATAAAAAGAATACATTTATTTATTAATTTTAAACTTACTTATTAGTTTTTTTAATTTTTTCTCATTATGGCATGTCATAGATTGTCAATTATCAATATGTAGCCTATTTGTGACAGGACTCTGAAAATTCTTTACTTGTCAGAACCTGTAGTATCTGGAATAATTGTGCTTATGCTGTCTTAATTTTTAACCATGCCCAATAATAGCTTCAATAACTGTGTAATGCCAAGTTGTGCAAATTGGACAAGGATACAAACAAGTATGAAGTCTGCAAGTATGAAGTTTTGCTTCATAAACCTGATTATTAAAGACAAATGAATTGCCGAATTATCGGGCTATAAGCTTGATGTTTCTATTAAAGCAGCCGAGGTAGCCAAATCAAGAATACTAGACAGCAAAAGAAGCACTACAAGCTCGAAAATGAACTAGAAATCTTCCAGGATACAGGAGAAAAAACACATTACATCTGTCTTAAAAGCATTAAACACGATTCCACTCACATCGATTGAATCGGTAGCAGTACTTTTCATTAGTTAAATAAGAACCAGATTAAGTTATTGGAGTATCGACCATCTTTGCTTTTTAAAATCTTATTATAAAAATTGACAATAATATTTTCTATTATGTTTTATTTAAAAAGCAAAAATTACCTTTTTAGTTAGAAGTTTGATCAAAGTTCATTTTTTAAAAATTTTCAACTGAATTGAAAGCTTTTTTTGTTGTTGTTGTTGTAGTTATTGTATGCAGTTTCCAGCAAACTTTAATAAAGTTTTTCTATTTGTGAAAATTTCTATGTAATTCAAAGGTAATTTTTAATATATATCTTACACAGCATTATTAATATGATTTTGGAGGTTGCAGAACGTAATAAATTACTTTAAAAAATGAAAAATAATTATATCATTTGATTTCGAGATATTTTGTATATCTTAAAAATAATTAATTCTATCCCAGGATTTCCCGGAAACAGTTCACTTTTATCCCGGAATCCTGGGGCATGCAAAAGACCAGGAAATGAGAAACCCTGCTTTAGACTATGGGGGATCTGTTCTACTGTAGGAATGGGCCTGGACCTTTACAGGGGACCCAAGAGCCCAATTAAGTAAATTTCTTTCTCTTTTGCAAGGACATATCACTGTGGTGTGTGAAGGAAGAAATATGGAAATTTCCCCAAATAAAAAGATTGGTGGATTGAACTGTTGAGTGGTTGGGACAAGGCAGTGGGAAAATATGGTTAGGGAGGAACTATGGGTATGGAGATTTTACTGGGGCTTGTGCTGTCCCTCCACAGAGCTGAACATAATGCCAATAAGTAGAAACAATTTTATTTCATAACAGAATTGAAATTTAAGATATCATGATAAATGCAGAAAATATCTGTAAATAATATAAACCTTAAACTGATAAAATATTGCAGACAGAATATTTTATCAGTTTAAATTGTAGTTTTTCTATATTAATGCATGTTATATGCTAAAACATGCTTTATATTTTTAATGGATGTTTTATTATTCTTAAAAAGTACAAGATATGTTCAAAGTTCCAGGAATGGGCCAAAAATTCAATGTATTAGGATATAAAGAAATTTCAATATTCAATACTTTCAAAATAATCACCTTGAGCTTTCAATACACTTTCTCCAATTCAGGAAACATCTAGAAAAATCACCTTGAAACTGCAATTTTTTTGCAACCATCTATTTCCCAATCAATTCTAAAGATTTTTCTTTATCTAAAACTGAAAAAATTTTTAATGAAAACAAGTGTATGTGTGTGTACACTGTATTTCCTTAATTAAACCTTGGAATTCAAATAAACCCAAGGAATAAGAGTGCTGTTAAAAATAAACCATAGATTGAAAGCATGGGAAACATGTTGAAGTATTGGATAGCATAATGTAATTTAGAGAAGTTTAAATTTCTACTGCTTCAAATTGTCTGAAGTCAGACAGCACTTTCTATTCCAAAGTTCATGGAAACATTTTTTTTAAATAAAATTATAAATATTGTTGAATATTGAGCATAAGAAAGTCATGATCAAGTTGAGAGCTTATCAGCCAAAGGGTAATTAGGAAAACTGGTTCAAACTTGCCATCTCTTTCCAAAAGAGATAGGGAGTATGAACCAGATGATAGTCAAGGTCTTGATTCCTGAAATATCAAATCAGACATGAATGACAATGTAATAACTGAATTGGAAGATGCTGAATCTAGTTAATTATGTAAACAGTAATTATTTTAAGTGTTGTAGATGTAATCCATAAATACAGTCAATAAATAGTTTTGATAGTTCAGAAAATGTACAAGTAATTAAGAATTTTTTTCAGTGTTTACCCACTTGTATCTTGTTGAAAGATGATAAATCCTAGCCTCAAAAAAATCCTGGATATTCTAACAAATCCAGGGTATATATGCATTTTAAAAATAAACCACAGCAGGGTTTAATCAAGAAAATATGGTATATATATATCATATTTACTTGAATGCAAGGCTCACTTTTTCAAGATTTAGTATATTTCTGGAAATAGAGTGCATCTTATATTTGTTGGTGTCTTAGATTTGATAAATATTTTGATTATAATACGTCATAATTAGCAACCTCTAGTACAATGAATCTTTTTTCTCTGTCAATAGAGGCCAATGCTGCTGTTTTAAGAAATAACAATACATTTTTATTTAATTCACAAAAAATATAGATAAAAAGAATTATGTTAAGTGGTAAGTAATATGGCAATAGAATGTTTACAAACAGCTTTAAATTACATTTTTTCATGTAAATTTGTGCTATAGAAATTCATTTATAGGTTCAAGTATGCAATGAAATAAAAAAGGTTGAAAAAAACTGATCTAGACACTTACACAACCATTTAGAATTAACAGAAAACATTAAAATGTGTTGACACTATCTTCTTGTTGTGGTTTTAATTTTTTTTTGTAGTATCATAAGTTTTATTTTTACTTTATAAAACTTGTGTACAGTACAAGCAACTTATTCTGCTATCTTTGTGTCCACATTAGTATATTCTGTTTTTATTTCATTCTGATAATTTTTCTGTATCTAAGCTGTAGAAAATTCATTCTAATTTTATACCATTATTTTTACTCCACAATAAATTTCTTAACAGAATAGTTATCATGTACATTAATGGTCAGAATTACTCCTATGCATCTAATCTAACCATTCTCTATCTGCAAAAATACAAATATCTTTTCTCCCCTCTCATTTTTGATTCTTCCACCCTGTGGGCACTAAGAGGGTTTTTACTATGCTTCTTATAAGTTCATAAAAGGGTAATAGATCAGACCTGACATAACTGGACAGGCTACCCATGAAAAATTGTGTGTTGCTTACCAGAATCTGCATAAATCAATCCCACATAAAAGAAGGCCTTGCTATATTTAATTGATTCTTGTTTTTATGATTTATTTTACCTAAATTTTTCTGGATTAAATTATGTAAAAATCTAATATTGCTGTTTAAAGTGTGTCAAATTTATTGCTGTATATTTCCTTAAATTATTATTAACATATATAAAAAACTTTGTAGTTTATTTTAGATTTATACAAGATTATATTATAATAGAAGCTTTGTCCCTAGCTGCTTTCAAGTCAACCCTGATATTTCACATTACTTTGCAACATTCTCCACATTTATGTTTTGCAGTTTACAAAAATTCTGTAAAATATATTATTAGCTATATATATATAATATTATTATTATTTACAATTATTTATAATAAATTTAATAAAGGATAATCAACAATAAGACAAAAGATGTAATTTAAAATGTAGAGTAAATTAATAACAACAAATACTCTTAAATCAGGCAGCTGGTGGTTAAAATTCATTTCTTGGATACAGACATTCTATGAGATGTCAAAGATTAAATCTAGATACCTTGTAATTCATAAATATTTAATTTTTTAAGTGATATTCTATTTCTATGATAATTTTTTAAATGATATTCTATTTCTATTATAATTTTTTAAATGATATTCTATGTCTATTATAATTTTTTTAATGATATTCTGATATTCTATATAATAATAATAGATCATAAATCAATTTTTCAGTGAGTTTCTTGATTTTATTTAATTTATCACATTGATTTTGCTGTATAATAAATTCTATGGTGTAATGCCAAGAGACTTTAATATATATTAACTTTTTCATTTCAGGTTTTATATACTGATTGCCAATGTTTGGCTGCTAATGTTACAGCTGTTGCAGGGTATTGTCCATTAACATGTAATAATTTGATATGGTATATTGTTGTGTTTTCGTTTTTTGTGCTTGTTCATTCGACATCAGAAGTTGGTTCAATGATGTTGACTCTAAGGTATGTAAATTTAACAGGATCAACGTGTTTTAAATATTTAAATATATTTATGTATAAACTAATTTTTATATACCTTATCATTAAATAGTCATTCATTTTCAAATGATTGATTATAATACATGGTTATAATACATGAAACATTTAAAAAATTTATTATTCATAAATTGCACAACAGATACTATATTTTTTAACATTGACATAAAAGTAAACTCTCCAAGTTTTTTACATGAGTCACAAATGCTCAGTGTGTCTACCTTTGCTGATATGGCAGACGTCTAGATGAAAATATATTTCCTCCTGCACATGTCAGCACTTCCAACTGTTGGTCGCAAGATGCCAATTTCTAAACTTGCATATGTAGTGGACTTGTGGGGACTACACTCATAGGCTTGTTTAACACAACCCACAATTTGTTCACTTGGCCCTGGACATCTGGAACAAGATGCACAGTTTTCATCCCAGAATTTCACAAACCATTTCAGGACAGTGTTATACACAGGTGGCTCCTTATGGAATTCTGTTTAAAATTGTCTCTATACACACACAATGGACAAGATTCTTGAGTATTTCAATATGCAAAATGATTTTTCATGTTTGCTTAGTGTCATATTTGCTACTATTACCTCCTAGTGACAAAACACAACTAGGCATGCATACTATTCCTGAGAAAAAAACTTGGAGCATTTACCTTTAATTTTAATGTTAAAAAATATAGTATCATGTTGTTGTTTAGGAATAATAAATTTTTAGAATGTTTCATGGATTTATAACCCTGTATTTCAAATATATTTTAAATGAATTATATTTTAAACAAGTAAAAAATTTGAAAAATATATTTCTATTTATTATATTATAAATACTACATTTCACTTTAAAATGAATGAAATTGTATTTATTTTTAATAAATGATAAATAATAAAAAAAACACAAAAAATATTTTACATCTCTACGAATTTAAAAAATATAGATACAATATTATATGGGCCAGTGGTTATGAAAGTGGTCTGTCATATTTTTTATTTGGAGATATTTTAACTTTTGAGTTTGTAAAAATTAAAAACACTTTTTATGTAATTGTAAAATTTTATGAAAAGTTTACAAAATAAATTCAATTTTTTTCCTATTTTTTACTTAGACCACTTTCATAATTATATAATTTTATTATAGTCTATTGATTTTGCTATCCATAAACTATAATAAAACCTAGAATTGTAAGCATAATGTTTAAAATTAAAATATAAATTTTTGATGTAAAAAAATAATTATAATTAATCAAATAAAGAAAGTTCAAGTAAACAAAAAATTAGCATATCACAGAAAATTGACATGTAAATTCTTTATATATTCAGAATCTTGTTTTTGAATAACTTTATCTGAATCCTATGATAAGAGAAAAGTTATTACAATATCAATAATAAACAGAAAAGATAATTGACACAACCTGAATATAATGAAAGTATAATTTATGAAAATTAAAATGTATTGAAAATAAGAGTTTTAGAGCTAAATATTGATATTTTTGTTTAAAAATTTTCTAATCTTTCTTTTACCTAAAAATACATTTCTTCTAAATTTAAATTTTAAATATAAACAATATAATTTGCTTAGTTGAAGACTGATAAGATTTCTGATAAATTTAGTATCATTATTTTCATAGACTAAACTAATAAACATTAATCAAGGTTGCATGTAAATTATACTGTAATTCATTGATCTATATATATAATATAAGTATATATATTGTAATTTTAATAGCCAGTGACATATAAAATAATTCCACAGTGGTATTTTATGAATTTTGAGAAGATCCATTTTCATTTATAATTCATTTTAAAATAAATATTATTTCAAAGTTTATAAAATAAAAGTAAGTAATATAAATAACTATTATTACTTATCAGTTTCTAAAAAAATAACTTTAATGAAATAAATAAATCAAAATTTACAGATATTAGACAGTACAGTTACATAATAACCATTATCAACAGCTTTTATACTACAATATAATATTAGTAAAACAATCAGAAAATGCTTTGTGAGAATTCTCTTGTACATATGCATAATAAAAAAAACAAATAATAAAAACAGAATAATCAAGAATAAGCATCAGTCCAAGTTTACAATATTTTATTTTAAGAATTTCCTTTTCATATGTCAAATTCAAAACATGTTAGATGAAAATGAAAATCTTATAATTTAACTTTCTATAAACTTAAACTTGATCACTTCATATAAAAGTAAATATAAATGTACCACCATAGCCAGATATACAGTATTTTTATCAACACATAAAAGCAGTTATGAGTGATTTTGAATAAAAACCTAGTATTGGATCACTTTCTGATATTATTCAATATGATGCCTTATATGATACTGTTATGTCCAGAAAAGATACCACCTTAAGTAATTGTACTATTAATCTTAAATATGAAATGTAGGTTCAGAAAAGATTAGATTTTTGTACAGTGACACCCCAGTTAACAAACTTAATCCATTTCGTGACTCTGTTCATTAACCAAAGCAATTTTTCCCATAGAAAGTAATGCAATATGCCATAATGCAAGTGCAATTTATTCATTCTAGCCTCCAAAATTTTTGTGATTTTATTTGTAAAATACAGTAGGTTTTCTTTGATGAAAATATAGGAAAATGTAGTATCTATCATTATAGCAACAAACATGTAAACTTTATTTAATAAAATAGCACTTTAGATACCTTTGTTTGTTGTAGTTGGTAGCAGAGGAGTGGAGATATATGGAGCTTAATGCTTAGAAGGGAAATTCCCTTCCAAAAAAATAACGGGTAGCACTTCATTGGGAGATTCTTCAAGTCAAGGTCTCTTTTGGTAAGGAACAAGAAATTGATCTAAAGTTGATGGTCTTACTCTTTTAATCACAATTTTTCTCAAATGCAATAGCACATTGTTGTTTTCTATTGCCACTATCACTTTTCTCTTTCTTGGATGCCATATTGATTAAATATATAAATCACAAAACTGAAAAAAGAAGTTTAGCACAAACACTCAGAAAAGCAATGCTTAACTCGTGCATGCCTAACAGCAATTAAAATTTGACACAAAAAACCATTACATTCGTTATCCAAATTTTGTCTGTTATCTGAGACAAAATTTTTGAAAAATAAAAGTTTGTTAACCAGGGCATTTGTTAACCGGGGTTCCACTGTATACCTAAACATAAACATGAAACTGTACTATATTTATGATAAAATTTGTATCTTACTTAGACATACTAAATGTACAGTAGTACTCTTATACTATATTTCCTTCTTTTTATAAAAATTTATATTTTTGCATATACTATTAAATTTATTATATAAAAACTGATACATACATGCATACATACATGCATGCATGCATACGTACATACATACATACATACATAATTCAATATACGAGGGCTGTTCAAAAAGTATCGGACCTTTGGTCGGCAAAAATACACTTATTGATTTTGAGGTACAAAACCCTAATCCCCTTCAAAGTAGTCTCCTTGGTAGTGTATACACTTCTCCCAGAGTTCCTGCCATTGCTGGAAACACTGCTGGAACGCATCTTTTGGAATGACCATCAGCTGGTCCATCGCATTCCGCACGACGTCTTCTCTCGACTAAAATCGGGTTCCTTTCAGCGGCATTTTCAGCTTGGGAAATAGCTAAAAGTCACACGAAGCCATGTGGGGAGAGTACAGAGTGTGACGAACCACAGGAGTGTTGTGTTTGGCGACGAAAGCCCGAATCAGATTCACAGAATGGGCAGATGCGTTATCATGATGGATCTGCCAAGTTTTGCTCGACCACAGATCCGGTTGTTTGCGTTGCACAGCATCGAAAAGACAACGAAGGACCTCCTGGTAGTACTCCTTTGCGATGGTTTGGCCTTGTGGTGCGTGCTCACGATATACCACCCCACAAGAGTCAAAAAAACTGTCAACATGACCTTGATATTGCTGCGAACTTGCCGTGCTTTTTTTGGCCTCGAGGATCGTCCCCGAAAGCCTGCTGAATCTTGCGAATGGTTTACGCTTGAGTATCGCCAAGGTTTTTGGCAAAATTTGATGTATCACTGTAATATCACTGCTCACGTTGTTCAGTCATTTTCCAACTTAGTGGAATCCGATGAGAGCTCACTACATATCCTCACTCAAAGGCCGACTACCAATGACTGACGCTTCCTGAAGGCGGGAAAAAATTCAGGGCTGTGCATGACTCTCCCCTCCACAACTCCACCGAAAGAGACCTCTCGCGCATCATTGGTTTACGCGGAAAAAATAAAAGTCCAATACTTTTTGAACAGACCTCGTATGTATTAGTATGCATCAAATTTATATATTTAATGTGTGTCCTAAAATATAATTTTTGATATACTGTTCTTAAAATTATGTTTTCTTACTTTATTCTCTTGTGTTTTCTGTCTTTCTAATCATTCATATGCAATTAGAATACTTCTAATTCTTTTGAATCTATTATTATGAAAGCTTGGTATGTAATGGAATGCGATCAAATTACAAATTTCACACATATTGTTTCTCATTTAAGATTTAACAGTAAAATAAGGAAGAAAATGTATAAATATAAGAAAAGTAGAATTTACTTAAATTCCATCCTGCACACTAAAATTACTCAGAAAAGATTTTAACTAAAAAACACAGTATTAATATGTACAGTAATAAAAAGAAAATACTAGAACTGGCAGATGCATGTTTAGAGAATGACAGTATGATAATTATCACAAGTTTTCCCATATATTCATAAAGTGAAATTTTTTTCAAAACATTCATTATTATTTATATTTTTTATTTAGCATTTTTTATAACTAGTAAAACAGCAAACAGACTATTTGATTTTTTCACAATGTTTCATGGAATTACAGTGAATAACTCTTAAATCAGAAACTGTATTCAAGAGAACTCATGAAAAAATATGATGATCTTAATTGAAAATTGTGCTTGAATATATTTTCTCTTCAGAACGGAATGAATATGATTGTTTGAAATTTTTAAGAAATTTATTTTATGAAAATAAAAAAGTAAAATTGGTCTATCAATATATTTCTTTTTTGATAATTTTTTAATATTAAACATTCAAAGTTACTTATTATTATTATTATCATCATATTGGTGGAGTGTTTTCTACACAGTGTATATACAGATACCTAGTGCTATGCCAGACTAAAGTCATGGCATAACTACAGAAAAGTTTTATTTATATGCTGTTCATGTATATATTTTTGTTTAAGAATTTGACTATGTGGCATGTGTTTAGTATGATAGTGTTTAGTATAATGTGATATATGTGTCATTGTGAAGTCCCAATGTTTCAAGACTTTTGTATACACAAAAGTCTTAAAACATTGGACTTCACAACATTAGGAAACATGTATATGGTATGATGCCTATACCAGGAAGGAATACTGGCATAATAAGTAATTTATCCATTCTCCATAGATGCTTCTTGTGGGTGAGTTCTGAATATTTAATAATTTTTTAGTGTATGTGTTTTGTTTGTTGTGAGTGTTTGGAACAGCTTTCTCTATAATGTATATGATTTTGTTTTGTTTTACTGGTCTGTTGTGATAGTTTTAATCTGTGATTATGGATTTTCATTGTGTTGTTTTCTAAGACCATCTGAAATGTGTATTTGTAGTATTGTTCCTGAATAGAAGTTTGTGTTTGTGTGCACGCTTTTGATGTATTATATTTGCTATTTGGTTATGACAATGTAAATAGTCAGTTTATATTAAAAGCTTACAATCTGATGTGATATATTATATAGTCTCATGCATGATGTGACATTTCCTGTAGGTGTTATCTGTGAATATTATCTTTCAAGATTGTGCTTAAATATAGTTTCTTGTATTTATGACCTGATATTGTATTGACAATCATAAACCCTTCTGTCTCTCTGAAGAGACACTCATGAGTCAGTTAGCAGTTTTATTATTATTATAAGCAGCACCTGGCAGTAGTAGTATGTTTAGTATTTTTTTTTTCTATAAATATATTTTGCAAATCTCAAGTTAGTCTCTCTTATCTTAATCTGAATGATAAAATTAAGTTTTAGATGGAAAAATCTGCTTAGCTAAAAAAAGAAAATTCATTATGTAAAAAAAAATTTTAACTGCTAAAGACAGATTTTATAATGATCCAAAATTATTAAACTACTATTTTAATCTGAGATTCTTAATAATAAAGACTAAAATCCTATTTTTCTTAAAAAATAACTGATTTTGAATTACCAAGATTAATAATCACATTTTATAGAACTATAATGTTAAATATTATTTATAAATATTGTATAATTATTTAGAGAAGTATACATATTATGTATGTATATAAATGATCAAAATCACAAATTGATGGCACGAAATGTTTGATGATGCCACAAAGTCAGACTTGGTGCCATTGTTACTGAGATGTTATTAGTGAGAAATATTTAAATCTTGAACACTTATTTACTGTCAAGTTAAAAATAACAACTGAAACTCTAAATAAATAAACAAATCAAATTTTGGCCCTAAAAAGTTCATGGATGATCTTGCTTTATATCTTTTTCATAGCAATATGAACAGAAAACTAAGATAAACCAGTTTCTTGAGATAAATGCTTCAGATTTTGTGGGATTCATTTATAAGCATAGTTGAATATCTTGATATCTTTCCTCGGATAACTTTTTGTTCATGACATTTTTTTTCTATTATAGACAGACTTCTTGTACAGTACCACTTATTAAAAAATCTGCGAGCAAATTTTTGTAAGCATAGAAAATTCAGGATGTTTTTGCATAAGCCTTCAGTTCTTGGTAACTTTTCATAATAGAAAATTATATAAAACAGCAAATTTTCTGTTCTGTAATTTAAAGCATCACAACATTTAATTTAAATAACAATAATGACCAAATACTAAACTCAGTGTAATGAGTCAGTCAAGTGACACCAGCTCACTTGACTGACAATTCTGACTTTTTTTGAATTTGCCAAACTCCTCATTCTAGTGCTTGCAAGTCTTTTTTGTTAGATAATTTAGTAGAGGCAAGTGTGGAATCCAACAAAAAAATTAAGAGATATCACAATGTTTATGGCTTCATCAAAAATATTTAAATTCATATAACAAATATGAAATATCTGCTTGTGTCTTATATTTGTAAGATATGAAATAATGATTTTGCTAGTTCATGTTTATGGCTCCAAAACTTTACTCAAAATTTGAAAATTAAAAATAATTCAAATTCATTTTAGAAAACAAATAGAAAATGCTGTTAATTCCTCTGGATTTCATTTTTCATTCATTTAACATTCAATTTCAACTTTGAAATAGAATTTAACAGAATACAAAGACAATAACAACCTGCACTTTCTAATATTCAATTTTCTTTTATGTTTTTTTACTTTAAGAAGTCAAGTTTGTTTTTCATTAAGTTAGTTTAAATAACAAGTGAAATATATAAACTTTTTAATAATGACATTTTAGCATGTCAGTTAACATTAACATGTATTAATCATAAATTTAATGACAAAAAACTGGGGAGTTACATGAAAACACTTGCTCTCTTATATTTCCACTTGATATGCACTTTTGTACTATTTTCAGCTGCATTATGAAAATTTTCTTTCAATAAACATTGTCAGTGTCGAATACCAAATCTGATAAGGTAAGAGTTATTACTGAATGTGATTGAGTACCTTGGCCCCTCTTTTCTATCCATTTTTATATATAAAAACACATGACAAGCTTATGTATGTTAGAAAGGTGTATGAAGAATGATATATTTTTATCATATATTACAATGCATTCTCATTAATAATGAGAATGTACAGTATCATATGTAATACATATGTTCTCATCATTCTTTATATTTTTTTATTAGTCTTGAAAATAATAGAATACAATATTGTTAGATTTACAAATATGATTAAGTTAGATGTTACAAATAAAATTTTAAAAGATTTCTAATTATTTTTTTATTACATTTGTAGATGTGTTGATCCTCAAGATAAAGCAATGGCTTTAGGATTGATATCTTTTGCCATTGGCTTGTTTGGTAAGAAAGTTGCCTCAGTATATTTTATAAATTTTTAATATGTTCTATGAATATTATGTATTTATTATAATATTATGTAGCATTTTCAGATTAACCAATCCATCTTGCATATTATAACATTTAAGAACAAAAATTTGGAGCAGAATTGTAGGATAAACGAGCAAAGGCATACCCCTAGTACATGTACACATCACACTTCCCAATTATTAACCTCATATATATTAAATCATTAAGTTATGTAGTTTGTAAATAAGAATGAAATAAGTACAATATTAAATATGCTGATATATACAGGGTGTCTTGTCAAGACTGCATAAACTATCCAGAGTGTGAATCCTCACTTGGAGTACATAAAAAAATGACCCAAAAACCATACCTCTATGACCCATAGTTTTCAAGAAAAATGCAAAAGAAAATGTATGATGTCACATCTGGTGCTCAGAAAAGAAGCTTTATTGGAAACATGAACATCAGTACTTGCATATGATATTTTGATTACATAGGAAGATGCTCAAAATGATCACTGTGCATGTCGAGGCATGCATGTGTACACCATAGAATGGCTGTATTATCCAGCATTGTGTTGTCCACAAAAGGAAATGCAGCATGAAGACAAGAAAGCAAGATTGGTCGTTTTGAGCATCTTCCTATGTAAGCATAATGTCATATGCAAATAACGATGTTCATGTTTCCAGTAAAGCTTATTTCTGTGCACCAGATGTGACATCATACTTTTTCTTTTGCATTTTTCTCAAACACTATCAGTCATAGAGATATTGTTCTTGTCATTTTTTATATACTCCAAGAGAAGATTCTCGCTCTGCAGAGTTTAGGTGGTCTTAACATGACACCCTGTATGTATGTATGTATGTATGTATGTATGTATGTATGTATGTATTCAAATATTTATTGTCAACTGATTGGTGGAATGCAAGCGCTAATTCAGAACAATAAATTTGCCTTTCAGTTTTAGTATAAGCAAAATTAACTTTTTGTAGTAGTAAAAATATCAGTTGAGCAAAGAATATTTGTATGCTATAATAATTATTCAATTGTACAGTTTTAATTGTTTTATGTATAAAAATAATATACAACTTAAATTAAGAAATTCATCATTGAGTCTATTTCTAAAAGAATTTAGTTTTTTGCTTTTATTATTCATAACAGTATTTTATATTATGTGCCCACCAGTGGCCAAGCGGCCTTCATACCCTGGGAGTTTGGTCGTGGGTTCGCGCCGCGATCGGACAGGCTGGCTGCTTGCAGTTTTCTGGGTTTTCTCCTTGCCGATAACGACTAAATAGGAGGCCAGTTCCCCATAAAAGTCCTCCCGGAAGGCATTCTTTCCCCTCGCGTAACATCACGCCCCAGAGAAGGCAACGGGAAACCACTCTGGGTACTAACCTTCCCTAGTAACACCTTGGCGTATTATTAACTACTTACTAATCTACACCGGGTGTCGCCGATGTCAGAAATCTGATATGGCACCAAGAAGAAGAAGATTTTATATTATATCAATAAAATATTATAATTAAATATTATTACAAACTTTATTCTTAACTGAAACTTATAATTAACTCCTTGGCAAAAAAAATCATATATTGTATAACAATGGTAGCCTACATTCATCCATTCTTGAATGAAATTTTGATAAAAAGAAGAGGAAAGAAGATGATTCAGCTTTGTACTTTACATTTCTGATTAATGATTTCTATGAATTGTATAATGCAAAAGTGGAATAAACAGAAAAGCATTCTTTTAATAGAAAATTTCAATATTTTATTGATATTCTATTTGATGATAAATAAAATCAACTGTTACAAAATAAAACACAATTTTTTAATCTGTTAAATGTTTAAGAGAAAGAACTCAATTATCTTAATTAACATATTAATTGTTAACATATATTTTAATTTGAAAATTCATTTATAACAATTAAAGAATACATACTAGTTTAGAATTGCAAAATTTTACATATAAATTTTGCCACATTTTATTTCTGAAGAAACTATCCATCAAATATTTATTACAATAAACATAACACAATTAATGAAATTGTTTTAGATATTATGTAACATTTATTGAAAGTCTTTTAAAATTAAGAAGTATGTTATTATACATTTTATACCATTTTTGAATATTAACTTAAGTTTAAAAATAGATAATGAAATTAAATAGAACAATTTCAAATTCCTAATTTAAGTATTATCTTGATTATTATTTGTAAAACTCAGTTTAATTTAAATAAATATTTCATTAAAAATAAATTTATATTATTATATTTTAAAAGATTATTTTTTTTAATTTTTATTAGGAAACGTGCCTTGTCCTATTATCTATGGTGCTGTTGTTGACTCTGCTTGTTTATTTTGGGAAGATAATTGTGGGGAAGCCGGAGCTTGTCGAGTATATGATCCAGACAAATTTCGAATGGTGTTTCATGGCCTTACTGCTGCAATTATGTTTGCAGCATTTCTTGTAGATGCTCTAGTCTGTTATAAAGCAAGATCTATTCAATTTCAAGAAGAAGAACATGTTACAAATGCAGATGAAGTGATACCTATGAATTCTGGTCCTTGTGGACAGTTTGAATCAAGTGTATAAAAGCCACTAATGCTTGAATGCCTTATTACAGGAACTCCTTAAATATATAGTTAATTAATACTGATGGAATTCCATCCATTGAGTCCTGCCACAATATGAATATTCTGGACTGCAGTTCCAATAATACTCATTGTCCATTATGTGCATACTTCTACACAAGATAGTCAATGAGCACAATGTTTTTACTAAGCACATTTTAGTTATATATTCTCCTGTGTACAGTTTAATTGTATAAATTTTTCCTTATAAAGTTTATGGACAAGAAATGAAGCGTTTGTAATGACAGAAGTACTTGCATGTTCATTCAGTGGATTCCTAATGACGTTGTTTTACATGCAATGTGTTAAATATAGCATATTTCAGAGAAAGAGTGATTACATTTATACTGTGTATTTTCTAAGATTATTAAATTTTATCGCAGGTAAAGAAATTGTTATTTGAATATGGAAATTTTTCACTTTTGTCATACATTTCATAGAAAATTTTCTACATATAAAAATTGATTGCTCACATTGGTATATCACATTTTATAATTATTCAGAAATTGTTTTATTGCAAGATGTTAAGAAAATTTTAGGCAGCTTTAACAAATATTAAATGAAATGATTATTGAAAAAAATTAAGAATTTTTGAAAATTATTGTTTATGCATAAATATATTTCAAAAGTGATAATTATTTCCATATGCAAATGTTATTAACAATCATTTATTCTAAAGAGATGTGTAAATTCTTTGTTATTGTCATTACATTATAAAGTATATCATATTAAAAGAAGAAAAAGTACATTGACACAGTATTTAGAACTGTTTGTAGTTTTGTTTTAAAAACAAATTCTAAGATCAAGTTATATACGTATGGCATATAAATATTAAACTTGTATTTATGCTATTTACTGAGAGTGGATTGGTGTTTCTAGTCTATGAGATCATCAAAATTTTTTTACAGACTCGTATCCCCAAAAAAATTTGTCTTTGTAGATTGTCTTTAATTAGAATATTCTAATGATAGAATCAAACAATTTAAAATGTTTATATAAAGAACAAGTTCTATTTCAACAGATATGTGGAACTTATGTTTATTTCCTGTAAAAATATAAAAATTTTAGGGAAAGATTTTTAAGATTACCATTATAAAAGAAGTTAAATTATTGTAATGTGATAAATGTAACAACAATTTTTAATTTACAGGTATGGAAATTTGATGATGCAAAACAAGTTGACCATTATGTACATCTATAAAATAATTTTTGATTTACATCAGGAAAATTTATTTATGTACTGTTGACAGTATAAAATAATAATATACTGCTGTTAAGTAAATTTCAGAGCTTTATGTGATTAATTTGCTTTAGTAATTCTTTGTGATTAGTTCTAATCAATATTTAGTTTCTCTCTGATACATTAGTAATCAATTAATTTCACTTATATACATTAGAAATTTTTTATAAATTATTTTTAATTAAGTTTTATCAAAATTTCTTAAAATATCAGAAGAGTAGGAATAAATTAGAGATTACAATTTATAGAACAACAGTAATTTTAATCAAATAATTATGCTTGTGTAGATATAATAATTAAACTATTTAAGGATTCAAATAAAATTATTAAAGATAAATGAAATAATTTATCTTTATAAAGTTTTATTTCATTATTAATCAAAAATACTTGAAAATACTTAGGTACTGTTCCAGAAATGTACAATCTAGATCATATTTTTAAAATTTTTATACAACCCAAAAGAGATTAAAAGAAAATTTAACATATAAGAGCATAATCTTTTCTAAATAACAACATGAGAACTCAAATTTAAAATATTTTTTAAAATTAATTTAAAAATTAATATCTTATTTTAGAATCAAGTATAATTCATATGCTTTGCATTCTTCTTTTTCTATTAGTCTAATAGGCAATAGCAAAAGACATCAATATTCAAACTACAATGATATTGAAGCAAGTCTGTTCTTTTTTCAGACCTTGAAATATTCAAGGATGTCTAGTAATTGGCAATTGCTCTAACTTCCAAGGCCATATTCTTTCTTCTGAGGGGTTTACTTTGTCAGCTTTTCTATCTTTGGATTACTTTGACGTCAGTGATAATATGACAGATAGCTATTATTATAAAAATGTATTCATTTCCACATTTATTAAAATATGATGATGATGATATAGAATTTTAAAGTATGGCATCAATTTAAAAATAAAAAAGTTCATAAATCAAATTTTAATTAATTTATTCATCATTTGAAAAGTAATGCTTAAAATCATGCTTAGTATGCAAAATTAGCATTTCAATTTGCAATAATAATGAAAGTTAAGAATATTTTTACAATAGTTTTTTAAAATGCATTGTCCTAACTTTGTTACATGAATAATTTGCAGTTTTCAAGATTCTCATTTAAAAAATCTTATTAACATTGCCAATTATTGTTTCAGTTAGGTTACTACAATACTATTAAGCAGTTACATGATCAGCTGTTCTGCATTCTGTGTCTGTTCCAATTTTAGTACTTGTTAGGGTGCAATGAACTTGTTTTAAATTTCATACAATTCTTTGCTTTATATATGTATATTCAATTCCTTGTATTATTAAATTATTTATTATACATGAATAAGATATCTTAGAGTATCATTAACTAAAAATCTCATTTAATAACTACTTAAATTTTGTTATTTTTGTTGAATCACTTGCTAGTCACAACTAAAAATTCATACAAAATGTTAGTTTCCATATAGTCTGAAAGAAGATTTTTTATTTTCAATAATGATTGGGGATATGTTGATAACTAAATATTCTTATCTGCTTGAATAACAATCAGGGGTATATATATTCTTGTCTAAGTACAAATTTAATGTTGATTATCAAAATTGTGGAAAATAAATCTTACAAGTTAGTAATTTGAAATTTATAACTGAAGATCTCTAGATTTACTTGCAAAAAACAAGTATGCTAATAGGTTCGCAATAACCTCATATCCATATATGATGTGCTATTATCCACATATACATTAGCTGAATTTAAAGATTTCAAATATAATTAAACGGAATTGATTAAATACGTACAAATAATTATGTATGTATTTAATCAATTCCATCTAAAACAATAATTTACGTACTAGTAACACATAAAAGTGAGTTCTTGAAGTAAAATATGATGTATCAGAATATATATAGGTTTTTATCTCTTAGAACGAGTTTTTAATTTTTCGTGCCATAGATCGCTTCCACAGTCTAATTTCTTTTCGAACCAACGTTTTTTAAATGCCTAAATATCAAAATACCACTATATTTGTGATATAGTAATGTGCATATAAAATTTTATATGATGAAAATGTAAGTTATATATATAAGGTGTGACAAAACTCCGCGCCAATATTTTAGGGATATATTTTAGAGTCAAAAATAAGTTTAGAATCCTCTAAACGTTTTTCAAAATCCGCTTCGTTTTTGATGATTTAAGTTTATTTTGACCCTAGAATCTATGCCTAAAAATTTTGACACGAAGTTCTATAACATTTGTATACAGTATACATGATATGTAATGGCCAGTGGCTCATTATCCCATGGGCAAAAGGAGTAATTGCCTGGAGCCTTCGCCAAAGGGGCCGCATATCAAATTTTTTATAAGAAAATCTTTTCCCTTAAAAAATTCCCCCAAAGAAAAATGCCTGAAGTCAACACTGTATAAACACTGTATCCAAACTCCCTAATTCAAATTTGTCTGGGCGCCCTCGAAACTATTAGTTACATGGCGCCCAGACATCATCTACATCATCAGCTACAATCGTTGCTAATACTACTAGATTAGTTATATAATATATAACTTATTAGTCACGTTATTTCAATTCAAAAATTTTCCCACGAGAGGTGTTAGATGACCGGCACGATTTTATTGTTAAAGGAAAAGTATGATGTACAGGGGCAAGCCACTGCTAATTTGAGGTGGTGAGCATATATTTTAAATTAAATAAATTAAAGATATGATTAAAAATTGCAGCCTGGCATTGTGACCATGCCACAATGAATAAATGCTCGTTAACTTTAAATAACTAAGTTATGTTGAAATTTTTTAAAATAGATTAGTACTACTTAGGCTAACCTATAAAGTTGTACAGTACCTACATAAATATGGCCATCGCTGAGCACCAGGATGTCTGTCATAAAATCACGATACCTTATAATGGCCAGCTTTTTTGTAAATTATATAACGACTTCATTAATTAAAAAGGGGAGGTTCAGAAATGTATTTCACGGATTTACATCGTTGCAATTGTTTTATTATTATTATTATTATTCAATTTAATAAAAATTTGCATTGTGAACTGTTACTTATACGTATTTGTTGAATTATTATTATTTGTTTTTTGGTTCTCATAAAAAGTCCAGGCCTGGTACTTAAACCCTATCATTGTGTAACCTCGTTTTTCTCTTTTTTGTGCGCAGTGCATTACAAATTCACACCATCATGGACCGAATTCAAGTTCCAAGGTTTGAGGACACGATACAAAAAAGCATTTAAAAATATATATAGAAAGAACATATGGCAAATTACATAATGACAAATACTAGGACATCGCGCGACTTGTCGTATCACTGCAGAATTGAGGTAAAGTCGGAAAGAAAGAAAGTGATCCTTGCACTTGTCGCCACAAAATAGGCTATCCTCGTACTTGCGATCCAAAGGACAGACGATCCAAGAAGAAAGCAATTGCCACAGATTGCTTTCCTGTTTTTTTCTTTGTATTTCGCGCCTATTTTCCATTAGGCGCGAAATACAAACAATGCTGTGTTATATTTTTGACCGCTTAAATTCCATTAAGCATGGTCAGTGGCGTCGGAAGTACGGACATTGTCACTTTAATCCCACTATATATCCAAAGCGAAGCCACAAACCACTATTTTTTTACATTTAAGTGGATCCTTATTATTTTTTGTACTTAAATTGTCTACAAGGACTTATTTATTACTATGACTTATTATACCGGTGACCTGGTTCTGCAAATTAAGAAAACAATTCAGAAAAAAGTCTTTATTTTTCACCTGAACACATGTTACACAATATAATTGTGTTTCGGACCTGTTGGTCTCTCATCAGCAGGCTTATGACCAAAAATTTTTTTATAAATTTCTTCTGATACAGGTAAACTTAATGTTGGTAATCTTATGGCCTTCATTTTGCATCTTCTTAAGTACCATATTTCTATTATTAATTTTTCTATTTCCTCTGCTATTTTTTCTGTCCTCTGCATCTTCCAGTCCACCAGAATTTCGGTTGTAGATTTGTACTTAAATTGGTACACCGGTACAACATTTTTATGCCTTTGTGACCTTATTATATTTTTGGATTCTTCGTCGTAATTAATGGAAAATGGTAAAGTTTATCCAAAATCGATTGATCAAATTTTAATTCTGTAAGCCACATAAAAGAGGCTTCGCTAACGCTCCTCGTCAAATACAGAGAATGCAAAAGCCTACACCCCAGAACTGGCAAACAAAAGAAAAAAATGAAAAACTATACCATTACATTATATCAACTAAATTTATAAGAACCGGTAAGAAGTCCTGCGGAATAGTAAACCAAAAAGGTTATATACTTTACATAGCTATTATAATATTGATACAAAAGGGCATATGATAAAAGACATAATGAATAAAAATATATACTGTAAGGTCTCTTTTTATGCGATTTTGAAGTTGTGCGGTTTGTATTTCATCCAAAAATTTCTTGGACAAACATACATATAGGCTTGCTTAGGAAGCCCGCGTATAGACAGTCTCCAAAAATCGTGGAACGTTCAAAGCTCACTCCATTTGTTCCACTGACATATAACGTTTATGGATGTAAAGGACAGCTAGATCTACCTTAATCGCTTTAGTTCCTAGCAATTTTTGATATAAATGTAATTAAACATNAAACTTAAATTAAATTTTCAACAGAAACTATTACTTTTAACAGAAATTTCATTATTTGAATTCATTTTAAATCAATAATAATTAAAGCAATATAGATTAGAATAAAATTAAAATACAGTATGTTATTATAATACTATATATATATAATTATAACTTAAAAATCTTTAAATACAGAGCAGAAATGATTCTTAGAAATGAACAGATATAGTTTTGTATCTTAAATTAAAGGAAAAACATTAAATATTAAGTTCTGATTCATTTTTTTTCATGTTTTAAATATTCTACAAATTTTTCTACAGATTTTTCTATAAAATTTGAAAAATTTGTAGAAATTTTTTAAAAATTTCATCAGAAAAAATTGATGTAATCTCTCTCTTTCTCATCTTAAAAAATCCTATTAACAAAATTTTGTTAATAGGATTTTGTTATTGAATTTATTAGGCTATGAAACAGTACTAGAGAATTAATAAAATGTTCATTATATTATATTACTTATAAGTGAAAACAAAATCCATTTTTTCCAAATAATAGTTTGACAGAAGTGTTTTGGTTGGCTACCGGCAGTTTGTTCTGACGACCTCCAAACTTTAAATTACATCACAAATCTATCAAAGGAAAGTGACGATCGTGATAGAAAATATTACTGCAAGTGCATATTATAGAAATTAATTTAAAAAACTTAAAATCTAAAAACAAACAATTCATTAAAATTGTATGAGAAAATCTTCCTTGTTATAATATTTTAACCTATAATATAAAAAATATATATATTATTTTATTTTAAAAATAATTTTATATGCTTGTTACCTTTTTTGTAATGTCCGAGTGTAAGACATACCTATATAACATTCAGCCATATTTTGACATATGTAGAGGAAAAACATATTTACAGAAATATATAACAATACAGGTCGATGAATTTTAATACTGAACTATAAACATGTTTAAATATAAATAAATCTATTTATTTTATTATTTGTTTTAATGATCGTAGACATAATGAATAAAAATTAAAAAAAACACGCGTTACAATAGGAACACGTGACTAATTATAATAATTTATGATTTGTGACGTTATTCGAATTTTAAAATTTTTAATCAATTAGAATTCGTTGTTCGTAATAATAGGCTATATAATAAAGAGCAAAATATATATTAAGATATCGAAAATACTATACTGTATTTATTATCATTTTCCCCCTTTTATCCACTCTAAGAGCACGAATTATTATTGTATTAAAATTTTTATTTTAATCAATCACGTGATTGAACGTCATAATATAAGAATCAGTCACGTGACTCGATTTAAAAATTTTAACTTTAACATAGGCCATTATGTAATGATTTAATGATATATTCTTTGTAAGTTTAAATGCGAAAGATCACTTACCTAGCAGCCAACGGTTCGAATTGAAAATACGACAAACAATATAATAATTTTGCGTCACTGCTTATCTAAATACAGGAAACTAATTGTTTAAAACTTAAAAGAAAAAAGTAGGATATAAACAAAACATTGACATTTGTAAAATGTCATCTGATTGGTTTAATCATCACGCTATATCGCAGTGTTTAACCTTATTGGATATAAATCTTTTATATTTCTTTACCAATCTTTTGAATTTTTAACAGTTTCTTCTTTATTTTTATTTCGCGTTTTTAATAATTATTCTTGCAATAATTTAACATTACATTACGTTAAAATAGCAAGATAGTTTCGTTTTAATATAAAGTTTTAGTCACGTGATTTAACTGACCTATCAGCGATATTTAATTCAAATTTTAAATTTTCAAATTGGATCTTAACACGGCATTTACGTAATTGTATATATATATTCCAGCTGATAAAATATTGAATTGCTGAATTTAAAAAATTATATAAATAACTTTTAAGATGTTGAACATATATTAAATTTTTTGGATGGTAAATGTTACAGATTAATTAAAGTTAATAATACAATAAATAGTTTAAAACTCCATTTAAAATTCATTAAATGATTTTATACTTAAAATTTTGCATTTGAAATTTTAACTTATAACATTTTATAAAATTTCAAAATCAATTTTATATAGAAAAATGGTGTCATATTTTCGCTTGACGTCACAATATGTCGTGACAGCACATTGACTTCGTGTTTATTTGTGTTACGATCATTTTTGACTCTCTTTCCAAGGGAAGTTTTGATTTATATCGTGGATAAAATTGCATATAAATATAAACTACCTGCAGTCGCAACTAAAATTTTAAAATTTAGACAAAATAGAAAATATTTATTAAATTCTCAATTATCTTTATCATTTACTAGTCAAGATCCTCCAGGTCCTTTCACAGGAGATTAGGCAGAGGCCTCGAAAACATTTGTTACGAATTAGTTTCATTGCATTTCATATTACCATTAAAATTGTGATACAACTTTTTAAACGCTGTTTTGTCTTAAAATTCCAATAATAAGTTTCACTCGATCTTCGAAAGAACCTGATTCCTATAACACTTATTTGTTATTACTTTAATTACTCGTTTCAGTTCAATAAAATTTACAATGTTAATAACAATAAAGGATAAATAATACGTTCTTAATAAAACTCGCTTGAAGTATATAAAACAAATTTGAAATTTGAATATTTTTAAATATTTATTGAAATACAGGATTATGAAAACGTCATTGTGCATAACGACATTGTGTTATTTGTAATATAGCTTTTGTTTTTGTTATCGATATTAAAGCTTGAAACATTTTTTTTCCATCAATAGATTCATTTTGTATTGATAACTCGTTTAGAATCATACTCTAAAGTAAATGTTTCTTTTTCATTATATTAAATATTATTATTTACGTAATTAATGCAACTTTTACGAACTTAGAGCAATTACTACTAATTGTTTTAAGTCCATTTTTTGAAAGTTTTCAAAAAAGTGAACTTAGAGTCCTTTAATTACATTCAAATTACTGATTAGTTAGACTTTAGTTAACTAAATATTACTCATTGTTTTCAATTTTAAAGTTAAATATATTGTAATAAACTATTAAGAGAATTAATTGAATCAAAATGGTAAATAAAATGCTAAATACTTTATATAAATTTTATTAAAAACTTTCAAAATAAAAGTATAAGTTTCTGTATTTAATTTATATATATAGTCTATATTCTAAATTTTCAATCATAAAAACCAATAATATTTATATTATTTTAAACATTTTTGTTAACTCGATGGCTTCTATATTTAAAGCTTACTAGACATTTTAGTTTTATGTTATTTTGCGTTTCATTTTCATTCATGGTTAACTTAAGAATACAATTGGATAAACTCCATTGGACGATTGAATCTAAATTAGGAAATGCCAGGAAACATTACGGTTGTCACCTTTCCTACAGAACACGAAAGTAACAAGGATCGAAAGATTTTCGATTCTTGGCATGCATTATCCGAAAATTCGAACCATGTTTATTTTTATCAATCTACGTATAGTTACTTCGCATGCGCAAAATCGTTAAAGTATTCTCACATGATCTTACTTTACCCATAATCCTTTGTCGGACGTATTAAAAGGACCGTCCCGAATGATTTCTTTGCTCCTCTTGCATCAATTGTAATTACTATTTTGTGCTCAAACAACCAAACTAACAGTCATCATGCCTGTGGATGCTGCAGTTCTCGAAAAATTAGAAGCTGGCTTCAAGAAACTCCAGGAAGCCAAAGATTGCAAATCATTGCTGAAACAATGTTTGACAAAAGAAATGTTCGATGAACTGAAGAACCGTCAAACTGCAATGGGTGCCACTCTTTTAGATATTATCCAATCAGGTATGCTCTACGTATCTAACATATTAGCGCTGTTTTCAAATATTTCAAACTCTAGTTCTGTCTAACTTGCGCCAAATTTACAAGATAACTCTCAATTCCTTACCGGATAATGTTTAGTGTTGGATATTTATTTATAAAAACTATTTTTACATAAGTTATATTTATGCAATAAGTTTAAGTGTTAAATTTCTATATTAATAATTTAATTGCATTTTTGAAATAGCTTCAAAAATAACATAGAATTAATATTTTAATGATACAAATAATTAAGCGCGTAATATGTAATAGGAGATATACAAATAATCTTCATTTATTTATATATCTTTTGCTCTTGCAATAATATTTACAATATAAAATTACAAAAAAGAACTTGCAATTAGAGAAGAAAGTTTATAAAAGAACGAATGTAAATAACTAATGCAGCGAATAGAAAATAGAATATAATTAAAGTAGTTCTATAAGAAATCATCGGTTGAAAAGGTTATTTCAGTTACAATCTGGGATGACCGTTTAAGGAGCTCACTGTTAGAGAGAGAAGAGTCTATTTTTAAAATAAGGTGCCTCCTGCTTCTGGTATTCAACTATCACACTCGCTATTGGGCAATCCCCTTATTTTAGTATCCATAGAAGACAGCCAACCACTATCTTTTCATATATACAATACATTCCTTTTTTGAATGTTAGTTATTTGATCCCAGCAAATACAATTTAGTCAATTTTTCTCGCCAAAATCTGGACCTGTTAGCCTTTAGAATAGGAATGACTTTCAGATTGTCTCACGGTCAAGGATTTTGGAATTTCGCCTAGACTGATTTTCGGTAGAGTCTCGTGTTCTGTGAAAAGAAAAAATTTCATTGTCTACTTACACAATCCGAATTCAGTGTTAAAAGCACCTTCCAATCCCTGTTTGACCGAATCCCTGTTTGATCGACAATTATATTAATTAGTTTTTGCAATATTGAGTCGTAACTTCTGAGAGTAAATGATAATACATGCAATAATCAATTTAAATTTGACTTGGAGAATGAATTTTTCGTTCTTTCATTGATACTTTTCTGTTATTATGAAGTTACTTAGTCTCACTTTATGCCTCAGTACACGTTTATTTTTTTTTTTTAACTAGAGTAATCTTTTATTCTCTTTTGGCTTACTATAAACTAAGTAAATAGTATTAATAATCTTGGTAATGACAGAAAGTTAAATTCGACTTTCAAATAAATGAGATTCAAGCCCATCTGCTGAAAGCCTAACTATTATGTATTGACCTTTTCAATATCTTCATTTAATTTAACAGATCCGTAACTTTTTGAGTGAAAATATTAGAGTATCAATAATATAAAATTTCTATTAGTAGTTTTAATAAATATTTAAAATTTCAATTCAGGTGTTGAGAATTTGGACAGTGGCGTCGGTATATACGCTCCTGATGCCGAATCCTACAGCTTATTTGCACCACTTTTTGACTCTGTCATCGAAGCTTATCACGCTGGTTTCAAATCCACCGACAAGCATCCCGCCACTGACTTTGGTGATATCAACACTTTGGTCGACCTCGACCCAACCAACGAATTTGTTATTTCAACTAGAGTACGATGCGGGAGGAGTCTGCAAGGTTATCCCTTCAACCCCTGCTTGACCGAAGCAGTAAGTAAATAATTCAATAATTTATATAAAAATCGCTTTAAAAAATTACTACATAAAATTTGATTATAACAGCAATACAAAGAGATGGAAGAAAAGGTTAGCAGCACCCTTTCCAGCATGGAAGGTGAACTGAAGGGTAAATACTATCCATTGACTGGAATGGACAAAGCCACTCAACAACAATTGATCGACGATCACTTCTTGTTCAAGGAGGGAGATAGGTAAATATAAGTTTAAAGTAAATATTAAAAAATATCGAAATTTGTTAACAAGTCGAATTTAATATAAATTTTCTATATACTTATGCATTTACTGAGATATATCTTAATTCGATACAATATTGCGATTGTGGTTTAAAATGATTTATTTAAAAATTAATTTTAATATAAGTTTAAAGTAAATAATCGTAAATATCATTAGAATTTTAATCATTAGAACCTCATTAATGATTTCCTCTCTTACAATCTTTCGATTTAGAATATTTTTGAACGTGACTNTACAGTATTGCAAATTTACACTTTGTACTGTACTGTACGGATCATGGTAGACGAAACCCTCTGGAATGTTGAACTATTGAGTAATATCGTTACTGAAAACTAAAAATTAATAAACTTTTTTGACAATTTCGACAAGTTTATAACGAATAATATAACATTCTTTAATTTCATTTAAAAAAAAGGTCTTAAAAAAATGTAAGTATGTAAAATTTCACTAAAAATATATCTCTGTGACAATAAAAACAAATTAATGGTATTAAAATTTGTCATTTTGTAAGCTACTCTTTGCTTTTTTAATACACTAGACTCTTGCTAATACGGCCATTTCTTTCACAGAAGGGTGTCAGATTAGCGAATGCCGAATTACAGAGAATGTTACAGACCTAAAGGCAACGATGGCGCTATCTGTATTGATTCTTTTTAGAGAGGCAGGTTAATAATACGACGCGCTGACATGCAATACTGTATAGCCTATAGAAAAGAAACTCGAATAAACAGACAAAACCTGGAACAGTCTCAGAAAATTGCGAAATGTGTGGTTCTAGTCCAGTTCTAATTCACAGTATACATAATATTTAACCTAATACTGATGTATTAAAATACTTAAATATTTGATTTCTGATCTATTGATCTCTAGTCTATGTTTTATCTTTTCACGAATGATACTGAAAATATAAAATTTTATTACCCAACTTGTAGCAAAATTAAATGTTTACTTTCTTGCTTCATCATTACAAACAATGATAATTATTTGCACAATATAAAATGTGAGTTAAATAAAACAACTGATGCTAGTGAGCTTTCAATTGGATTTATCAGTTGTGGTAACTGAATCTGATTGATATTGAAATACAAAATTATATACTTGTAATGGATAAGTACTATAATTTAATAGCTGAAATCCTACTGCGACCATATTCCGAGTTAGGCACAGTCTTAATGTGAATACATAAAATACTAAAATAGAATGATACCATAGTATTTGAATTGTATGAAAACATAATTTCAAGCTTTTAGCCCTGCACTAGTTAGGACATATCCTCTTGAAAAAGCTTCCTGTGTAACTTATTCCTCTCTGTTTATATGGTGATTATGATCCGCAACCTTGTTATCTGATTAAGACTTCCAAATAAGAACTTTTTCATTTTTAAGTCTTTCCGTCCTGTAAGCTTTAAGAGCTTTTTTTTCATATCTTTTGTGGATTCTGTAAAGCCTGCAAAAGGGACGACCGAGTAGAGAGGGACAGGGCCCGACATATTCGGGACAGATTGCCCATGAGAAATTCCAGGGATTGTTCACCCGGATTCAATTTCGATTCTCTCAGAACGGTACTCAGACGTCTAAATCGTCTCTGTCATTCGGTCCTCGACTGGTATAATTTATATTGTTTTTTTTAGTATTATAAAGTAAATTTAACAATCATTTTATAATGAATTATATTTTCTGGAAACATAAAAATTGATCAAACTTTCTGGAAAGTAAAATAGAATTATGGCCAATATATTTTTAAATTTCTTACTTTAAATTTCGATGTATCAAATTTAGATGTATAATCCTAAAATTTCGCAAAATACAGCGGATTTTGTCATTTTTGTAATTAAAATCGGACAGTTTTCGACTGAATTTCGAAAATCTCGGATAATAATAGCCTAAGCGCAAAGAAACGTGGACGCTATTGCAAGAGACCTTTTTACATAAAGAGACATTAAAAAAATATTTGACAATATTATACAGATTGTAAAAGAATTTAAAGAATGCCAATAAATCATCCTAGATTGGGTGCCAAGAAAAATGTTTCCTGAGTACCCTATCTAGAATGATTTGTTGGCATTCTTTAAAATCTTATGCAATTGGTATAATACTATCAAACATTTGTTATCTTTAATTCAAAATACAGAAATCGAGAAAGTTGTATCAATTAAAGGTTCTTTAGTTTAATTTATTTTTCTGAGCAGGGAATGATTCGTGGGAGCTTAAACCCATTGGTCCGTGGGACTATTGGCATATAATTTTAATATATTTTTTAAAAAATTATTTAAAATATTGGTCACATGTTTCGAGATATGACGAGATAACCCAATCCTTACCATATACTTTATTACAGTGCATTACACACTCATCACGATTAAATTCTACATTTGGTTATGTTTATCGGGTTTCGGATAGGAAAGAACGTGGTAGTGGGGCCACACCCTAACACCTTAAAATGCATTGTCATCGGATTTAGAAGGCTGAAACTTTGAGGACATAACTATCTTAATTAGAAGTGGACGAAATTTGAGTAGCAAGATTTGAAAACATTATACGTCATAGATTTTCCTAACATCCGGTTCGTTTAATATCTGATTATCTCTATGCTATTCTTGAGATTTGATTATGAATAACAATTTGAGACAGCAGAATTTTAATTTAAATCAATTTTCTACGACATTAAATTTATTTTGTCTTTGAAATTCTGAGTAATAAAGGAAAAAAATTGCATTTATTTCTTCAACTCTTATTCAAGAAAATAGTGTGTTTATCTATACAATCTTATAAAAACTGCTGAAAAAAATTATGATAATACGTTTACGTTATAGCAAAATCAGTATTATCAATCTAGTTTTGAAGTTTGCAGAGAATAATGTCCTGTTTTTCATACTACATTTACGTATGCTATTGTTTTAGCAGTTTAGAATTTTATACACCTCACAAGAGTTAATTTATCACGAGACTGCATTATAAAATTTAAAAATTTGTTTAATTTCTATGTTCTGATGAAGTATTTTAATGTAAAAATTTAATATTTACTCCTTAAATATCATTAATATTTTATAAATATACTGTATTACACGAGAATAAGTCAATTTTCTAAATAAAGACCTCATATATATATATATATATATATACATATAATTATATACAGGCTATCCAAATAGATATTATATACTAGTAAATACCTGCATACACTTTGGTAGTTGTTAACTACCAAAAGTGTTTATTTTCTTAAATCATTTTATAATTTAGTATGATTGTATGAAATGGGTAATCTAATTTTACTAATAAATCTTACTTGACAATATTCTAAGGCCAATTCTTACCTCCAAATGAAAAGCGTTACAGAATTATGAGCTAATAAAATATGTATATATTTTTTGATATAAGAAATTTTTATTTAGAAAATTATAAAATTAAAAACCTGTAATATAGTGTATATATCTAAATGAATAAATGTACAAAAAGAAAAAACCCTTTAAAAATCTATACTAGCAAAATAATTACTAAAATAGCATAGTCAATATATGCCAAAATTTTAATGTCCTCCAAGCATTTCTTTTTATAATTTCGTTTTTATTCTATAAATTAAAACAAAAAACATTACTTATTTTTACATTTTCTTTAGAAACTAAGCAAGATTTTTCTACTTTTAGTTGAAAAATCTTACATAGAAAACAGTGTTTCTAAGCAACAGATAACCCAGTTTGTATGTGAATAAGAAACTTATAATAAATCGAAATTTTTAAAATAGTTTTT